GCAGCGGCAGGCGGGGAACCTTGGCTTCCTCCATCACTGGAGCAAGCAAGCCTCCTGTTCGCTTCAGCTGCCTGGCTGCTGGCCGCCATCTTGGTTGGCAGTTAATTTGCATATCGCCCTGATTAGCCAATGGGAAGGGTAGCGAAGTTACGGTTAATTATCATGTTTCTCTATTATTAGATAGGATTGTTTATCAACTTGTACCTAATGGGTAGGTGCTCACATTAGACACAGATACTATCTGAAATGGATAAGAGGTTGAGGTCAGGGTTACAACGACACAAAGTCTCAAATATTCAATTCCATGATAAGATGAGTGTTTTAGAAATGGCCTTGTGAAGCTATCCTACTTGTACAATTAATTATGAACCAAGGATAATAATCACTGAGGCAATCAAGCACCAGTGACCAACCACTATAATGTTTATTATTCATTTAGGTACAGCATGTAACTACTGATTGGGGTGGTGAACTCACAATACCATATACAGATAATATATTATAGAATTGTACCCCTGGAACCTATATAATTTTCTTGACCAATGTCACCCCAATAAATTCAATAAAATATTGAAAATAAATAAATACACAAAAACTAATCTTGTACCTTTATTTCTACCAATTACTATATTGAAAGTGTCCTGTATAAATGTAATTATAAGTTAAACTAATGCATAAAGTATTTTTTTTCTAACTGAAAAAAAAGTCCAGTTTCGGCTAATTTACCTGAGGTGCACGGTGCAGGCTTCCAAAATCAGTTGAAAGCATGGAGCTATTTTTGCATATGAAGACAGCTTATACTTACTTAAAATTAGTTTATTTTATTTAGCACTTACTTGTATAATAGGGATTGATGGTGATGGAGGAGGATTTTTAGATACAGCTAAATATTTCTTTAACTTAGCTCATGACAATTCCCCATTTCCAAATGAACTATTCACCTACATGTTCTGGACATACCAAGGCCACAGTTGCTCCCGTTCAGTTGGTTGTTTATAATCCAAAGTAACTATGCTGGTGAGAGTTTTAATGCCTGTATTCAACAGAGGACTTCCTCTTGAGGCTTTGGGGAAGTAAAAAACCAAAGTGGTAAAAGCAAGATTAATGAGTCATCCCCAAGTTTTTGCCAAGCACCACCCCTCCCGTCTCATCATCAATACAAACCAAAGCCAAATTACCATATTCTAGAAAAGAATCTCATATTAGGAGAACATTGCTACTTGTTACTACTTCCAGGATCTCACTGGGGAATAAAATGCGGCTTCTCATTAGTTACTCCACAGGAGGCAGAAGAAGGCTTTTGAATTTGTGAGGTTCCTAAAATCCCACTAGACATCTTTCTTATGAGTCCAGTTTTGCCTGGATGCCTAGAAAACTATCCGCTTTCTGCCTGTTCTTTACGAACCAAACTGCCGAATTACCTCTAGAATTAGGGAAGGGCTCGTCCCCGTTCAGGTGTCACTCGGACGGAGATGGATCAGGAGGCAGGAGAGACCTGGCCGGGGACGCCTCCCGGCTCTCGGGAAGCCCCCCACCCTGTCCAGACACCGCAAGTCGGAAGAAGTGACCTCGCGTCCCCCCTGAGCCCCTCTTTTTGCGTGCCCCACGCAGGCTGACAGCTCAAGAACACAGCTGACAATAACAACTCTGAGCACCGGCTGTCACTTCAGCTCTGCGGCGCTGAGCGGAGGCGGCGCTGGCGCAGGGGCCACGCCCCCGAGACCGCCGGCCGGATCCTGGCTGGAAGGGCAGGAATGACCTTACCTGCTGGAAGGTGCCGGCTTCTCCTCCAGGGGTTTAAATCCTCGGGCCACTGAATCCCATCCCCGAGTCCCCCTGGCCCCGCCCACTCTAGCCGGTCCTTGCTGACTCTGATTTCGCGTTGGCGTAGAGAGGAGCGCGCATTGCCTTTTGGGATCGGTAGTTTTACTAGGGCGTCTCCGCTGGGCCAAGAAAGAGAAGGATGGCGCTACGGACTACAAGGTCCGGCGTCCTCCCAGCCAGGTGGGCGGTGGGAGGGGAATGGGGACGGGCTCAGCCGGGGTTTTAAACAGTAGTTGGCTTACTGGCAAAGGGGGAATCCTTGATTGCGTCACTGGTCCGATTGGAGAGGCGGGACTCGGGACGCATCACTGGGGCCCCAGCTGCGGGAGAACT